ATCCACCCACCTGCCAGCCCCTAGGCCATAGGTTTTTGAGCCAACTTAAATACGTATTGTTGCAGGCCACTGAAGTTTCTGTAGTTGTTTTCCTATGCAGGATTATCGTGGCAATGGATGACTAATACAAGAATCAAGGGAAGGATGAGGACTCTGGGCAGTTCAGACTCAGTCTGGCACTGTGGAGAAGGACAAACAGAGAACATGTGTGCGGAGGTTGCTCAGAGCCTGCACGTTTATTGTACGGGTGCCAGAAAAATGCGTTGAGTGGATTGGGCTGGGAGAAAGGAAGGGAATGGTATTTAGATTCAGGCCAATACAGACACATATAGACGCTTTGCTTCTTAGTTCCCTGAGGGCAGGGGCCACGTCCATTGTCAATATTTGTCACCCTCATCTCACAGTATGCACTATAAATCCTACACATGTTGCCAATAAGGCATGTGGGAACTCACGATAAACGGCATTATGCTGAGAGGCTTGGCTTCGTGTGGTTTTGAGAAAGTTTGTGAATTCACTGAGTTTAATGAAGGAAGAGTTCTATTAGCATTTGTCCTCAGTCTAGTCCCCTATTTAGAATGCCACATGGCTCTTAAGTCTCCAGATTTTTATTTTCAGTTTGTCTATATTTGGAGCAAATCTATGCTTGTGCATTTGACTGTAGCAAAAGAATCTGCAGCAAGAAATTTCAACAGTGCCTTATACCACAACATTTAAAAAAACTATGCTCTTGGGCCGGCCAGAGGCATAATGGTTGTGGCTCTGGACTCTCATATGGTCGACTGCATGTCAAGTCCTGGATCTGGTGGCTTGAAACTCATGCCGGGCACGTGTGTGTGTGTGTGTGTGTGTGTGTGTGTGTGTGTGTGTATGTGTGCATGCGCCCAAAATCCTGAGAGTAGAAGGAAGGAGAAGGGATGGCAGTGTGAACCATCCCCTGGGAGATGGTTTCTCACTTTCTTTTTCTCTGTGTCTCTGGCGAGGACACGCACCCTATAGCAAAACTCTCTCTCAAGAAAGGCAAAACAAGGGACCAGCAGTTAGCATAATGGTTATGTCACTGGACTCCCATGTAGTCGACCACAATTCACGTCCCGGACCTGGTGGCTTAAAACTCACACCAGGCATGTGTGCGTGCGTGCCCAAGATCCCAAGAGGAGAATGGAGGAGAAGGGATTGTGGTGTGGCCATCCCCCCCGGGGGGGGGGGGATTTCTCGCTTTCTGTCTCTCTGTCTCTCTCTGTCTGTCTGGCGAGCGCACGTGCCCTACAGTGAAAATCTCTCCAAAAAAAAAAAAGGCAAAATAAAACCAAAACGGTGCTTTCTTTTGTTGGCTGAATAACAACTTCAGAGAGATTGATAATCGTATGTTAACTTTTTGTCAGTATGTTGAGTATGCGTTCTAGCTAACTGAAGACAAGTAATCCTCTTTTTTGAAATCCAGACCATCAGCAGTAGAGACACTCTTCCTAAGAGAGGCAAAGTGCTGTCTTTTCCATCCTTGGAGCTTATCCAAGGAAGAATTGGAAGCCCTTTGGATCTTTTCCATTGGATCCTTACTGGATGCCAGGCCTCTGGTCTGGACTTTTGCTCAGGACTCATTCATCTCGTGCTCTGACTACTCCAGACCTATATTGATCAGCCTGCTCAAGACCTAAGGATCTACAGCCAGGGTGCCTGAATCAAAATCCCACCCGCTTTATTTCCTGGCTATGAATTCTGGCCAAAGTGCTTGACTTCTTTGTGTCTCAGTTTCCTTGACCATCACGTGGTGATAACTGCAGTACCCAGTGCTGGGGCGTGGGGTGGGCATCAGGTCAGACAGCCTGCTGCGAAGGCTCAGCCCCGTCCTGGCACAGAGCAGGTACTGTTCCGTGAGTGACTCCGATCTGACGCTCAGTAATGGATCCACTTCCCAGCATTTGCCTGTAGCCTGAGTTTTTGTTTTTTATTTGACAATCATCTCCAATTTACAAACAAGTGGAAAGAATAAGAATAAATATAGAATATCTACATATCCTATACCTAGATTCACTTTTAGCATATGACCCCTTTTGCTCACAGAATTCTCTCTCTCACACTATACCCACACATGCACCAATACCTCCCCTATAAACCGTTCAATGGTAATTTGCATACATCATGGACTTTTTTCCCTAAATGTTTCCAAGGAATAAATATATTTTCTTACATAACCACAGAAGACTTATCAAAATCAAGATTTTATTTTTTTGGAGAGGTTTTTGCTACAGAGCATGTGCGCTTGGCACGCCGCAATCCCTTCTCTTCCATTCTCCTCTCGTGCTCTTGGGCACGCACGCACGCACATGGGCCCAGTGTGAGTTTAAGCCACTGGGTCTGGGACTTGAACCATGGTCAACTACATGGGAGTCCAGTGACATAACCATTATGCCAAGTGGTATCCCCAAATTCAAGAAATTTAACATTAATATGTACTCTTTTCTATTACTGTCTGTATTCTAATTTTGTAAATTGACCCAATAATGCCTTTTATAGTATATTTTTCTTCTAGTAGAAGATATAGTCTATTATATACCTTTAGTGTCCTCTAACTCAGAACAGTTCCATACCCTTTCTTTGTCCTTTATGATACATTTGAATATAGTGCTCATCATTTGGGCTCGTCTAAATTTTCTTCATGATTAGATTTAAAATGTCATTTCTGGAGTGCTGTATAAGTGAGGTTACGTCCTTCTCAGAGAGTCGCATCTGCCAGCACACATGTCCATCTTCCCCTTGGTGACATTAACTTTTTTTTTTTTTTAATGTCAGAGGGTGCATATGCATGAGAGAGAGAGGAGAGAATGAGAGAGAAAGCACTCCTAATAGAGCTGGTTATGCTGCAATCCTTTTTCCTCTAATTCCCCATTCTCCCACGTTGGGCATGTGCACACCTGCTCAGGAGGTCTTCAAGCTGATGGGGCCAGATCTTGAACCCTCATTGACCATGTGGGATCTGGCTCCTTCTGTGCAGTGCCTGACTGCTATATTTCAGGGCTGGCCCAATGAAACAAATTTTGATCACTCATTCAATGTGTTTGACTTTTCCACTATATAGTTACTATTTCTCCCCATACATTTATGGAGCAATTCATGAGGGTGCACTTTAAGGCTATGCAAATACTTTGATCTTCATTAGGTTTCCTTTTTATTTCTTTATTTTTATTTTACGTTTTTTACACACTCAATCACATTATTTAGCTCACAAAGTGAAAATTTCAACATATGAACATTTCTCCCCAGTTCAGTTGATCAAAATATCTTCAACAGATAACAATACTACCTCCCTGTCCCATCAAGCGGGGCCTGGGGAAGGACTTTGGAGGAGGGATACAGAGACAGAGGTTTCCTTTTTAGATTTAGCATCCATTGGTGATTCTTAATCAGATCTCGTCTTTACAATAATGTTGTCAAATGATGATTTTTCAAACTCCAGCATTCCCTCCATAGTCACCAGTTATCTCTCTCTCTCTCTCTCTCTCTCTCTCTCTCTCTTTTTTAAGAGGCTTTTGCTATAGGGTATGTGCACTCACAAGAAAGACAGAGAGAGACAGAGAGACAGAAAGCGAGAAATCACCCCCCATGGGGGATGGCCACGCCGCAATCCCTTCTCCTCCATTCTTCTCTTGGGATCTTGGGCATGCATGCACATGTGCCCGGCGTGAGTTTCTGTGCCGGGTTTGGGACTTGAACCACGGCTGACTACATGGGAGTCCAGTGACATAGCCATTACGCTAACTGCTGGTCCTGTCACCAGTTATCTCTTGACATTCTGCAGTAGGCAAGAGTCCTCCCTTCTATTGTTGGTATCACTAATGGCTCTTTTCCCTAATGGGTACCTGTCTTAGCAAATTTGTTAAATTCCTGAGATGCATATTTGCAGATGTTTGTGGTCCTTTCTTTCTTTTTGAAAAATCTGCTCTTGGGTGCATGTGTTTGCCAGAGAAAGACAGAGAAAGAGAGAGAGAAAGAAAGTGAGAAACCATTCCCCAGGGAAAATGGCCATGCCATAGCCCCTTCTCCTCCAATATCCTCTTGGGATTTGGGGCCCGCACCCACTCATCCAGCATGTTTCTCAAGTCACCTACCAGGGATTTGAACCTCACAGTCACGCATGTGGGATACAGCAACCTTACCCACCACGCCATTGGCTGGCCTCCTTTTTTTTCTTTATCAATATGTATTTAAGAATTTTCTTCCCCCAAGGGTTTATAATTTATTTTTCTCAATTATCTTGGTGTTCAAATTCACCCAGATTTGGTCAGTGGTCATCCTGGGGTTTTTGAAGGCAGCATCACAAATCAAATGCTTCATAAAGATTACAGGAAGGAATTAGTCTGAGTCAAAGATGGATCTGTGTCATTGAAATAGTAGTTTCATTGATGTAGCCAGGAGGTCTTTCTACAGATGGAATTAATCCTACCCTAAGAGTCTCAACATCTATGCCGGCTATGTTTTCTTTACACGTTCAAAAGCAGAGAAAGAACATTTGTTTATTGTAATCCTCCTGCCATTCCTTTGTAGTTATTCCACAGAGAACACAGCAAAGATGGAGTTTTCAAGATTCAGCTTTACTCAGAGAAGTAAGAAAAGGCTGACTCTTTTTTTTTTTTAAAGGTTTTTGTCATAGGGCACTTGTGCTAGCTGAAAAGAGAGAGAGAGAGAGAGAGAGAGAGAGAGAGAGAGAGAGAAAGAGAGAGAGAAAACAAATCACCCCCAGAGAAGATAACCATGCCTTAATCCCTTCTCCTCCATTCTCCTGTCAGGATCTTGGTCATGTATGCACATGCACCCAATGTAATTGTCAAGCTACCAGGTCTAGGATTTGAACTCTGGTCAACCACGTGGGAGTCCAGTGCCTTAATCATCATGCCACCTGCCGGGCCCATCAGAGGTATATTGTAACCCACTCAGTATAGCTTTAAAGTCTGTGCTTTAATCTCTACATGGAGACAGGAAAAGGCAAACTTTTGACCTACCTCACATAATGCACAAGCACAACGAGCAGGCATCCCACGTAGAAAGCCAGGAAGATGAAGACACTGAAGAGACTGGACTTTACATAAACGGATTCTGAAGGGAGATAAACAACTACGTCAGGTTGTCCTCAGGAGGAAGATGACTATGTTGGGACAGCACAGCTTACAGGGCCACTTCCATCACACTCGTTCATACACTGTAGGACATTTCCATTTAGCAAAACGACTGGTGGCCACCGCCTCTAGTGGGAGCTTAGTTCTGGACAATCTCATTAGCCGTGAGTGGCTGCTTTTCATAGTGATGACTCCCAATGGGAGCTGGGAGGGACTGCCTCTGTATAACTTCACAATTGAGTTCCCTTTCTTTCTGGAAGGAATTTAATAAAAACAAACTTTGATACCCTCTTCTCTCACTAACATAAATCTACTTTAGTCTTCTTATGACAATTCTCCCTATAGATGACATTAATATTGAATTACATGACAGATTTCCTGACAGAAATATCTTCAATGTATTCTAGAGCCAATACGAATCTTATTTATTCAAAAATGATGATTCCTGGTGTGCGGATAATCACCAACACTAACCTGTAATGGAAGGAACAATCATCACTTTCAGGTTCTTTGTTCGTTGTAAATTCCAAGTCTGGTTCTTTTTTTCTATTAAAAAGAAAAGAACAGGCATGAGGGGTCAGCTATTAGATTCTTGGCCTCTCTTCCGAACCACTGTTCAGAAATTGTGTAGAACTAACTCAGGTGGCTGAATCTTATTTTAGCAAGAACTGAAGGAAAATCCAACCCTCCAACTTTCAAACCCTCTAATATTTCTTTTGGTTAACACGAGTTTGGCCTCTGCTTGGGTGTATTTTGATCTCACTAACTGATACAAATGACAACAGCCTCCACTCTCAAGTGAAGTAAGGTCGACCTTTCCTCTGATATCCACAGATACCTGATGAAAACAGCAGCAAAAATAGGAAGCTACCTCTTACTTTGGTTTGCATTTTTCTAGCCAGTGAGTGTTTTTCCTCCCTTATGTAGTCATTCAAGGACTTGTAGTGTACCAAGGAACACTGGACACTGGTAAAGCTCTGGAACTATGGAATTAAAAGATTGAAGCAGAAATTCACCTAAATACCAAAGGAACCATGTTACAGTCAAAAGCAAAGACACTTTGTGTTGGCCACATAGAGCTCACCAGAAGTGGGGGGTCTTGGTTTTCAATCAACAGGGTTTTTCCATTCCCAAGGCAGTGATGAGGGAGCTACCCCTAAGTATTTGCACCATGCCCAAGAGCTCACACCGTCCTTTATCATTGAGATGAGCTGTTCATTCTTGGCTTTCTTACTATTATTGAAAGGTACAGTTTTGGCCACTGGAATGAACTCTGAATTGTCCTTGCACATCCTCATGTATCAATAGATGAGGATTACTCATAAATATCAGTAGCTCCATTAGTGCTAGATATCAAACTAGTCTTAGGAAATGGACCCAGATCTGCCATGAGACCATTCCTCCATCATAGCAGCACATATTCATTCAGTACAGGGCCATCTGAGCAAACCTATCTTAATGGTCTGAAGGACTACCAGACTTTACAAAGATGAAACACACCAGATGACAGGTGGTAGTAACAACTACACCTTTAGGTCTACTTTTTCCCCCTGAGGTATCTCTCAGACTGCCTTGCCAAGTCACTGCAGATAGACCCTCACTTAGTGGGATCTAAAGATGAGCTTTTGGTTTCATTTCTTCCCTTCTGGCTTTTCTAGGTAGCCAAGAGTCCTCACTATCCCTTACCTTGAATGAAGAAAGATCCTCCACAGGCATAATCTTCGGGCTTTATCACAAACACCACGAAGAACTGCTCACCTGGAAAATCCTTCTTCTGCATGAAATATAACATACCTTATGATAGGCAGGTAATAAAGATAATGAGAAGGAAAAAAGTCTACAAGAGTAGAGAGGCAGAAGAAAAGACTGAAAAAGAAGAGAAGTCAAATTCACCCCTGCGTCTAAATCTTTAGAAAAGACTTTTCCATAATCTACCCAAGACTATCCTCCCTCTCCAAAAAAGATGATGGTTACATCCAAGACCAAAAAAATAGTAGTAATTGTTACATCCAAGAAATTAGAGTAAATAGATACACTGTTTTGATTTCAATCTATTTTGTGCACACTTGAGTACTTAGAATTGTAATAGGTAGCATAGAAACGACATAACAGCCTCTGTTTAATAATTACCATTTATATAGTTTTTATTTTAAAATCTAATACGGATACCTTTTTATTCTTTTTAGATTAGATTTTTTATTTTTCCATGCAATGTGTGCATTCACTGGAGAGAGAGAAGGAGAGTGAGAAATCAACCCACAGGGGGAATGGCCATGCCACAACCCCTTCTCCTCCATTCTTCTCTTGAGATTTTGGGCACACACATGCAAGAGTCCAGTGGTTTTTCAAGTCCCTGGATTTGGGATGCAATCGCAGAGTCAGTCATGTGGGATCCAGCACCTGAACCACCACACCATCTGCTGGTCCGACAGGAAACTTTCTTAAAAGTCACAGTCAGCAATTGAATACATAATTTAGGTTAGGAAGGCAAACGTCTCAAGCCAGGAGACCTCAGTTAGAATCCCTCCCTTCTCTGCATCCCAGTTTCCTTATCTGTGAATGAAATAAGGTTGACAAGATGATCTTTAAGGTCCATTATAGTTCTACAACTCTTCAAAAATTTTCCCCAAATTTCTTGGATCCTGTTTAGCCCACTAAAAAAATGAAGTGACCCAGGACTGAAGCGTGGGCCCAGGAGAGAAGTAACGATATATTGCCAGAGAGATCCAGGAAGACATGCTCCAGTATGTTCTACCTTCCATTGATTTCGTGTCCGGGATCATGTAAGACCTGGATTCTCTACTGAGGTTCTTATTCTGTCCTTTTTCATTTGGGACCACAGAATGCTGGGAAACTAAGGAGGAAATAAATACTAAAAGCAAGTGCAGATATTTGGGATGTTAAATCAGAGGCTCTCAAAAATGAAAGCTTGACTAATAGACGTTTCTAGATCTGATACCTAAATTATAACTAACCATCCTTTGCTTGTTCAATAAACAGTATCACCTTATTCTACAAAACAGATCAAGTCACAGATATCTCAACTAAGTACCATCCCAAACGAAGGGACAGAATGACGTGTGTACATTTTTTGCTGTAAAATTATAATTGAAGTAATAATTTAATGTCAAATACCAAACAGGGGAACTTCTGCAAAGACATGGTGGATGTTTCTTTAAAGCATGCTCTCCAGAATTGAAGTGCTCTTTTGGTTATGATTACTGGTACTGTTTCTGGTCACTAGAATATGTTTGTTTTAAATGGATCCAGTGAACTTTACCCTGAATTTGCACCCCCAATGAGTAGAGTGCAGGAGTGTCTTTTGGCTTTGCTCCCCTAAACCATCTGTCAGATGTGTATGTCCCACTGCTCCACAGGCACCCAAGAAACTCTCAGGGGAGGGGCATCTGGCAGAGCCCTATTGTCTACTACCACCCGGGTTTTGGTTTCTGGCATAGGAGCCTTCATTTTTAAGCCAATCAGAAGGAAAAGAGCTCCAAGGCACCCAGCGGATGGCCACCCCTTTCAGATGCTGATTACCCATTGAGCATCGTTGTTGACAATAGTGTCCACAGAAACCATGTCTCACCTGTAGCGTGATGGCAGCTTTCTTGGTCATGGACTGATAGACACCATTGAATTCTACATTGTGGTCAAGATCATACACCGGGCACTGTGGCAAGCATGCATGAAGAACAAAAAGGAAAGCAATGCTAATATCACACAATGGTATACCACACAGGTCCTGAGAGGGCCTTTCGACCTAGATCCAGGCCAGGGTTGGAGGGATGCGGGAACGAATCTTTACTGAGCCAGAAGATGTAAAACATTCCCTCCACAATGGTCACAAAATAATACTCCCAAAATATGGCACTCTCATTGTTTTTTGTTAACATACCATGAGCCAGAAAAAGCCTAATGTTATAATAAAATTTTAAAAACAGAACACATGGTAATTAATTTTTTTTTCCTTCTGGTAAAGCCTACAACTTTTTCTTGTTCTTTGTCACGTTCTTCCCTTCGTCCCCCCTTCCATCCCTCTTTTCCTTCTGGTGAGGAGCCAACTATTCCTTCTCTCTCCAAATAAATGTCTGTGAACATCACTGTCCACTCGCACCCAAGATATTGTGCTTACTATTTTTTTTACTCTAGGGTGGCATGCGCATGTGCATGAGAGAGAGAGAGAGAAAGAGACAAAGAACACTTCATGATGTGTCTTGGTCATTCTGAAATCCTTTATTCCTCCAGTTCTCAATTCCATCAGGATCCTGGGCACACACACTCAACTGATTTGTTTTTGAGGATGCCAGGGCTAGAACTTTAACCTTAGTCGGACTTGTGGGATCTGGCTTCCTGGAACAGCTTAATCTCTTTGCTACAGGGCTGGCCCTCCTTTTCATTATTTATCAGTTTTTTGGGGAGATTCATAGTAAGAGAACGACAATGTACCCGTCCTTCATTTTCATTTATTCTGAGATAATATCATGCTCCATATTTGAACAGTTCACCAATTAACAGGACTTACCATGATATTTTGGACTGAGACAACAGAACATGGGTAAGCCATTTTAGACACCACTTTAATGATAACTGAGTCCACATCTTTGGGAAACTTGTATAGAAAATACTGAGAATAAGAAAGAAAGACATGAGTTGTTACAATTTTGTTAAACACATTCACAATCACAAACTCAAACATTTTCACAGGAGTAGGATTGTCTCCTCTACTCTTAGGTGCACAGTTCAGATGTAAGTCTCAGTGACTCTCCATTAATGTAGCCAGTTGCCCACCCATCTCATACACACTGAGCAACGAACTGCCCTGTGCCAGACAACAGGAATGGAGCAGCAAGTAACACAAAGAGCCATTTTATAAAATGGTGCCATTTCATCTTGCATGGTATGACCATTTCTTTCTCAATAAAACTTAGCTACACTTCATCCCATTTCCCACACAGAAAGCCCTCACCGCCCCCTTCAAATGAGAGATATGCGGAAAAAACATGAGACAAGATTCACTTCTGTGTAGACATTGTGAAATATGGCACCGCCTGGAAAAACAGAAACCTGTTCTTAAGAGATTTTTTTAAAAGAATGATTTATTTTATTTATTTACTTTTTTTTATTTGACCAGGCACAGACAAAGAAAGAGGGAGAGTGGGAAAGCAAGCTGCCAGCTCTAGGGCTGAACTACGGTCAGCTATGTGGGAGTCCAGTGCCTTAATAACAGGCCACCTGATGGCCTCTGTTCTTAAGACTTTTAACTGCCTGCCCACAAGCAAGAAGTAGCACTAGACCTGTCCTTCTCCCAGAACTAGAGAATCTATTTCTTGGCTGGAGTATATTGAGAAGATATTTACATGAAAAGACCAAACCCTACATCTAGGCCTCTGAGAGATGTTCACAGTTCGGGCAGGCTGAGGTAGCATGACAAGTATTTCTTAAATATCACCAGAATCGGGAAGCATTTGTAACAGAAAGAAGTTATGCAATTACCTAGTTAGATTATAAATTCACTGGGAAAATGTATTAACTGTTTCAAACACAGCACGAGGGATGAAGAAAGGGAGATTCTGCCCAGCAGTTGATAAATAAGGAACGTAATTGAAAAGCTGTATCAAGGATATAATTTAGATTTTGAGAAAACCCACCCAAACCAGTCCCATATCTTAGGACGCTAATAATCCTACCACTTTTAAGCAGGCAAATCATGCTAAAACTTAATTTTGTATTCCAAAATCCTTTTTGAGGACCAGGGCAGAAAATATAGAATATGTTTTTTAAATAATCCAAAGTTTCCTGATGGTGGAAAAAAAGTCATCTCAAGATTAAAGTGTCCTTGACGCTGCCTAACCACACCTTTTAACGGTGGCAAAGCTCTAAGAACCCACTTTACTTTGGAGCCTGATTCGGATACATACAACACAGGGCTCTTCAAAAGGTGAGTAGTATGGGGTTCCCCAGAAGTGCTCTGGGTTCTCTGGGGAACCAACCTTTGTAACACCAGAGCGTCACTGTGATTACCGTCAGCGATAATGACAGTGTATCATTGTGCCGTCACGGAATCGTGTATAGTCCACGTCTCATAGTGATTGCTTCTGTGTAAGCAGTAGACACCACTGAAGGCATATAACGAGGTAGTATCAACCTTCTTTATCTCTAAATTACCATAAACCCCATAAAGAAACGCTTTTGGCCCCCACCTTGATAATCATCTTTACCAGGAAGAAGCAAACGACAAGTGCCCAGAGCCATGGCTGGAGGGCTAACGATCACCGGCCCAGTCTCTGCCTGCGTCTGTCTACAGCACAGAGCTGGACAGAGACTGACGCTGCTGTGTGAGAACGGGTAAGCGTTTGGGTGAGTTTCTAGGCACAGAAAATGTTTTCTGCAGTCGAAGAGGAGGTAAACTATAGGCCAAAATGGGAACAGTTAAGAGTAAAGTAAGATTTTCACGGATAGCAAAGAATTTATGTTTTGTTTTATTGGTTTGTTCTAAGTATTGTACATTGTACTCTAGTTTGTGGCGTATATACACATCATTTAGGCTTTAGTATTTACGTACTTTTTAAAATACAAAGAAGCCATACTATATAACCATCGCTGATTTTTACTCTAAAAGCACCTCTATCTTGGGGCTGGCAGGTGGTGTGGTGGTTGAGGCGCTGGATTCCCACATGGCCGACTGCAGTTCGAGTCCTGGACCTAGCGGCTTGCTTTCTCACTTTCCCTTTCACTCTCTGTCTCTCTTTGGTCAGATTAAAAAAATAGTAACAACAAACACAACTAATTAACTAAATTTTTAACTAATATTTTTTAAAAAGCACTTCTATTATTAAATAGTACATACAACATTTCCTATATCATTTTTTTTTTGAAGAGGTTTTTGCTATAGGGTGCGTGTGCTCGCCAGACAGACAGACAGAGACAGAGAGACAGAAAGCGAGAAATCACCCCCCAGGAGGGATGACCACACTGCAATCCCTTCTCCTCCATTTTCCTCTCAGGATCTTGGGCACGCACGCACATACGCCCGGCATGAGTTTAAGCCACTGGGTCCCGGACGCGAACCATGGTCGACTACATGGGAGTCCAACGACATAGCCATTACGCTAACTGCTGGTCCCCCTATGTCATATTTATAATAGCTCTATGCAGGACTACTGCTATAGTCAGGGTACAATCATTCACCTTCTTTTCTAGGCATCTCCCACTGCACCTAGTAACTAGTGCTTTCTAAATATTTCCTGAAATTGAATTGTCAATAAATGCTGAGGACAACCAATTGTGGGCCAGTGACACTCTTTTGCCACGGGGTGGCGATATATATACACTGCGGAGACTTGGATTGAAGGGAAATTTAACTCTTAAAAAATGCGCAAGAAGGGCTGGGGTGTGAGCTAACCAGAGAGTGGCTTAGCAATAAAACGCCATGCTCTGTGAGACTGACCGCACAGGAAGGATTGGGTTTGTGTCTGGAGACTTCCCCTAGGCTTTGCCTGGCACATATGATCGGAGCTCACTGAGAACGGGTGGTGGATTTGGAACCCCATTGGGGGTACTGTGTCTCTTTTTTTCCTCTGTCATGGAAAATAAATAAATAAATAAATAAATAAATAAATAAACTTTACCGAGACAAAAGAAAAGAATGCAGGAAGCTGGTTCATTTGGGCTTGGAAAAGTTGATTGTGTGCATTTCTCCCCAACCCTCTGTTCAATGTCTTGTTGACGACTTGAGGTCAGCCACAGTGGATGTGTGGATCCCACATAAATGGGCAAATGCTACACATCAGGGCTTTCTGAGAACTCGTGCTAAATATTTACAGCATGCCAATGAGTCTAATATTTATGAAAGGTTGACATAATATATGATAATACCGGTTTTGCTCTATCCAAAGCCAAGTCTTAAGTAGCCATTTTTGAGCAAAGCTGTATTACAGCCTGCAGAAAATTTATAATAATATCAGGACATTAAATAGACCTGTTTTACATTTGCCATTGTATAGACTTTACTCTTTCAGAAGCTATGAAAGAAAAAAGGAAGGTAGCTCGAAATGTCATCGGAGAAACAGCCTGAATTAATGAAAGTTTTCATGTATTTATTCTGTTTACGATTATGGTTTGATGGAGAACACAATAAAAATACCTAATTCTACTCACAGTTTTTGCCAGCATTCTTGGTCTTAGTTTATGACAGGAAAAACTAACTTACTCTACTCATAGCACTATCGAATGAGAAATCTGCCTTTTTAATTGTATTTCCAGGTCAATTAATTATTTGCAAATCTGTTTGGTATCAGCCTCCATTCCATGTCCCCACCTCATCCTGACTAGCAGGTCAGATGGCAGAAGCTGTGTCTCCCTCCGCTGTGTCCCCAACGCCGAGTACAATCTAACACTTGGTACACAGCACACATGTTCTTTACCCAATGAAGGCGGGATCAAAGAACAGTTGCAACCAGATTTCATGCCTCCCATTTCACACCAATACAAAAGATAATCTGTTACCATGGTTTCTTTGGGCAACACCAACAGATAGGATGTTGATAACTCTTGGAACCCTTCACTTACCTGAGGTTGAGATGGGCTGGCAGTGAAGTGAAAGGCAACATTTGTCCTGAGAAATTCACGAGGGAGAAGAGAAAGGGAGGAAATGAGAGAAGCATAAGTTAGCAAGCAGACATTTCTTTATTTATTTTAAAAGGCCATGTTACCCCAGATGCAAGGGGAGGCTTATACTTTGTAAATAAGAGTTTCAGTTCCTGACACAGTAAATTGTATGGAGACTTAATGGTTTCAACTCTTAAGAATGATTACATTGGTGACGCAGATTGTTTTGGTTGTCTTTAAAAATCCATGAAGCCATGCCTATAAAATCTTTTACTTTCTTTCTTTTTTTTTTTTTTTTGAGAGATTTTCACTGTAGGGCGTGTGCGCTCGCCAGACAGACAGAGAGAGACATAGAGACAGAAAGCGAGAAATCTCCCCCCAGGGGGGATGGTCACGCCGCAATCCCTTCTCCTCCATTCTCCTCTCGGGATCTTGGGCACGCACGCACACGCGCCCGGCGTGAGTTTTAAGCCACCGGGTCTGGGACACGAACCGCGGTCGACTACGTGGGAATCCAGCGACATAGCCATTACGCTAACTGCTGGTTCCCAAAATATTTTACTTTCTTTAAAAAAAAATAAATTGCCAGAGGGTGTGTGTACTGGTGAGAGAGAGACAGAGAGAGAGGAGAGAATCCCCCAATGGAACACGGTCACTCTGTAATCCTTTTTCCTCCATGTCTACATCCCATCAGGATTTTAGGCGCACACACACACACACACACACACACACACACACACACAAGTGCCTGCAGTGTTTTTCAAGTCACCTTTCAAGCCATCAGGACTGAGATTCAAACTGTGGTCGTCCACGTGGGATCTAACTTCAATACACAGCACTTAACTGCCATGCCATGGGACCGGCCTTGTTTACTTCCACAGACATACTTTGCCTTTGGATTCTTTGAAAGTTTTACAATGCAGGACAGGATTTAGGTATCAGAAGTAGGCTTAAAGATAGGAAATTCAGGCTTGAGTTGCATTTGGATATTGTAGATACCACTATGAAACAATTTTGATGCATTTGGGCAAGATAACACTTTTAAAAAAGCAAACTGAAGAGATAATCACCATGGGTCAGCCCTGCGGGATAGAAATACGCTCTTCTTGCCCCAAACAGCTCCCTAACTGCCAACCATGCTGACTGATTTTTTCTCCATGATTTATTCTCTTTGGGTTAGCCATTGCCTTCCCGGCCCTCTTTTTTCTTTTCTTTTTTCTTTTTTTTTTTGGAGAGTTGTTTGCTATAGGGAGCGTGCACTTGCCCCAAAGACAGAGAGACAGAGAGACAGAAAGTGAGAAATCACCCCCCAGGGGGGATGGCCATGCGGCAATCCCTTCTCCTCCATTCTCCTCTTGGGATCTTGGGCACGCACGCACACGCGCCCAGCGTAAGTTTAAGCCACTGGATCCGAGACTCGAGTTGTGGTCAACTACATGGGAGTCCAGAGACATAGCCATTGTGCCAACTGCTGGTCCCACAGGGCCCTCTTTTAAAATGCAAATACCACCAAAAGAATAATGAAAGTATTTTCTCTTAAATTAGTCATTTGAATCATTTTATTAGACACTTTGATTCGTTGAGAGACATCAATGATCCAAGCACTAAGGCGAGGAAAACGTGAGAAGCATGTAGGAACCTACATTCGTTGCCCAGAGCACTGGCTGGAGTGAACATCTGTAAACCGATTAATATGCTGCAAAACACAAATTTGGTCTCTGTGGTTTTGTAAGGGCTGCTCTGGGGCTTTTGCTCTTTCTGGCTCTGGCCTCATCGTTAGCCATGGAGCTTCTCTGCACAGGCCCACTGCTCGCTCATTTCGCAGCTGCTGAAACACCACTCCTCACAAGGCCAGGTCTCCACACCTCCATATGGCTCTTTCTGGCTCTGGCCTCATCGTTAGCCATGAAGATTTTTTGCACAGGCCCACTGCTCGCTCATCTCCCAGCTGCTGGAACACCACTCCTCACAAGGCCAGGTCTCCACCCCTCCATATGGCTACAGTAGTGGGAGTCTGAACCCAAGCTGCTTCTGGGATCTCTCATCAGTTTCATCCTCCGGGGTTCTCTGAAAATTTTCTTTCCACTCCTAATTTTCCCTTCATAAAACTTAAATACTGTGGGGGCCAGCAGGTGGTGTGGTGGTTAAGGCACTGAACTCCCATATGGCTGACTGCAGCTCAAGTCCTGAACTCGGTGGCTTCGAACTCATGCCAGGTGTGTGTGTGTGTGCATGTATGCACATGGGTGCGTGTCCAAAATCCCTAGAGGAGAATGTAGGAGAAGGTGTTATAGTGTGACCATGTTTCTGAGAGGGGATTTCTCCTATCTCTGTCTCTCTGGCAAGCACATGCACCACTCTATAGCAAAAAACTAAAAAAAAAATACAAAATTTTTTAAAAAATTAAAAAATCAAGGATTCTAAGGGGGATCAGAAGATACAATGGTGAGGTGCACCCTTTGCAAGGCTGACCCCCATGGGAAGGTTCTGGGTTTACATCTGGAGAACTCCTGAACACACTAGGCATACATGTGCCCATGATCTGGGGCTGACTGAGCTGGGAGAAGATCTCAGTGCCAGGACTCTGTCAAGGGTTCTCTCTCTCTTTCTCTCTCTCTCATCGCTCCTGTTTATGGAAGAAATAAGTAAACATCCTTAGAAAGGGTATGTTGAGATGTTAAGCAAGGAGTTTATAATTAGAGGTGTTATTTAGAAGCCATAGCATTTGAGCACTATTTATAAAGATTATGACCACAGTTTAGGCTGTCATCAGACTGGGTTCAGAATTTAGCTCAGAGTGTTGGGTGGGGGAGAGGATAGAGAAAGGTAGCAAGAGAACAAATAGAGAGGCATGACACTAGTGGGACACAGAAATGGCTTATTACCTGTTGGTGATAACATGTATAGTATTTTCAACTGGGTGGTCTAAGAAGTATTTCGTGTTGGGTAAATTCTCTTTATAAGCCAAATTATATATAGTGAGCGAATGTTTTAAAAACGTAATAAGGGGGACCAGTCAGGAACACCTGGCGTGGCCAGAGGCAGGCGAGGGGTGCTGCAGAGCGCGGCGGCTGAGGATTCGGATTCACGTCTGGCCAGCCCATCAGGGGAGGATCACCCCAGTGCCCAGGTCTCAGGAGCTCCGGTCTTGTTCATTCTCTCGTTGCCCATGCTCTCAACCTCGTCTGGAGGGGCAGGAGTTTTGTATGAAGCATATCCTTGGAGACAGGAATGCACCCTTCAAGCAGTGTAGTTACATATCGATGAAGAATGGAAAAAGATGTCCCAGTGCTGCCCCAAAACTGGAGAAGAAAGATGGGGTGTCATTCTGTGTTGAACATGCACGTAGGAATTCCCAGGCACTTTATGCTCAAATGGAGACGACCAGCCCAGGGGCTACAGGTGAAACACTCTTGTGTCAACTGAGCTCATATGCTAAGGCAGAACTGGGGTCGGTGAAGCCAGCAGAATACTGGACACGCCGGTGTCTACACAGCAGAGGAAGTGGCCCTAATTATGCGTGAGAAGCTAATTCGATGACAGTCTTTGTATATAGATCAGTTTAAACGACTTCAGCATCTGCTCAAGGAGAAGCAGCGTCGGTACTTACATAATCGCAAAGTGGAACACGAAGCGTTAGGTAGTCGTCTGCTGACTGGCCCAGAGGGACTTTTGGCTAAAGAACGAGACAATTTCAAGCGATTGAAATGTCTCCGACAGTATCGCCAGCTCTATGGAGTAGAAGCCTTATTACACAGACAGCTGAAGGAATGGAGGATGCTGGCCACGGATGGTGCTGCCCAGCAGGCCCACACCACTCGTTCCAGTCAGAGATGCTTGGCCTTCGTGGATGATGTTCATTGTTCCAATCAGTCTCTTCCCATGACCAGACACTGCCTCATCCATATTTTTCAGAGTACGAATCAGGTTCTCTTCAAATGCTGTCAGGGATCTGAAGAGGTACCCTGCAACAAGCCCGTTCCTGTAAGCCTCTCTGAGGATCCCTGCTGCCCACTGCATTTCCAGTTGCCTCCTCAGATGTATAAGCCTGAGCAGGTACTGTCTGTGCCAGACGATCTGGAAGCCGGCCCCATGGATCTGTACTTGAGTGCTGCTGAGCTTCAGCCCACTGAGAGTTTGCCTCTGGAGTTCAGAGATGACTTGGATGTTGTGGGTGATGGTATGCAGTGTCCTCCGTCACCCTTGGTTTTTGATCCTTCACTAACCCTTGACGATCATTCAATCAAAGACATTGCTGAAGGCCCGGTGGATATGTTGGGCCAGATGCAGGTGACTGGAGACGGGGGCAGATCCCAGGGATCTTGAAATTCTGAGAAAACCTCTGCCCCACTGCCTCAAAGTGGACTGGCTACTGCAAATGGCAAGCCAGAACCCTCTTCTATCAGCTGATTGTTTTGGGAACCGTATGACCGGTGGATTTGACTTTGGTGGATTTAAATTTCCCATTCTTCAGGCAATATTTCTCATCATCTCTCACAAAACGGGCAGACTAGGCTGCCTTGTTTTTCTTCTGGATTATTGAGTGCTTTAGTCAAACACAAAACCACATTTTAGGGGACTGGACCAGTAGTGTTCCACTCTGGGCAAGGGAAGAGAAAGAACTGGTTCCTGTCAAAGCTTCTGGGATCGAGTATTTGGAACTATATTTAAGGGGAAAGAGACATTTTTGTAATGGGATTTCCCAGCTTGTGGACAGAAATCCTCACAGGTGGTTAGAAGGAAGCTGCATCTGGGGACCAGCAGTTAGCGTAATGGCTATGTTGCTGGACTCCCACATAGTCGACCGTGGTTCGCATCCCGGACCTGGTGGCTGAACTCACGCCGTGCACTTGTGCGTGCGTGCCCAAGATCCCGAGAGGAGAATGGAGGAGAAGGGATTGTGGCGTGGCCATCCCCCCTGGGGAGTGATTTCTCGCTTTCTGTCTCTCTGTCTCTCTCTGTCTTCCTGGTGAGCGCACGCGCCCTATAGCAAAAACCTCTC